TTGCGTAAAAATGAAAATGCACAGATTTTTTTTACTCACTGTCGAGATCTCCTTTCGTGCTTCAACCCGGTAGGAACACGATTCGAATCGGGCCGATGAAGTGGAGTTCGGAAAAGTTCACCCTTGGAGTCCTTTGGCGGACGGACAGGAGGGCAGGAGAACGTAGGATATATTATAATGTAGATACATCTGATTTCCAAAATTGTGGAAGGGGGTGATATTTAAAAAAAATTAGAGTTACACCCGGTTCCTACCCGACCTGAAAATCGATCGCCATACCAAGTTTTGCGGATCCCACCCGTGGGTCGTGTAGGGCCGATCTGGCCGGCCCGCAGCCAGCTCTGGCTTCTAAGCTTCAGAACTTGGGGTCTCTGGGTTCGTCCTTTTCTAATAGGCTCTGCTGAGGCTTTTAGCTTTCCCTTAATGCCATATTCGTTACAGCCTGTTCAGTGTTCTCATAGTTCACTACGTTCCGATGCCAGTTGCTTGCCCGAGAAAGCAAAAAAAATTGCTGATCGCGTCTATCGGAACGAGGTGTCCATTTTTCCAGCAGCTGTAAGCTACTGGAATAAAAATATCCCTCTGATAGCGCATTCGCCAGCACCCAACATGAAACTTCATTTCCAACCGAGCTGCCTCAAGTCGGGCCCGACTTGCAGGTCGAGTCGGTGCAATAGAGCTGAAACTCATCCCGTACGAGGCTTAAAAGCATGCCTCATCCAGTTCCCGGGTGTTCGAAATTATCATATCTCATTTCAATGCGAAGCGGCAGAACTGGCTGAACATCTGCATACACGGAATTGAGGGTCCCCTGATGACANCATCGTCTTCAAGGAAAAAGGACTTAGAAATATTTTTACAGCAGCTCTAAGAACATAACACGGCATCTGCATGTTTTAATTTGTTCCACGATGGTGGACGCATTCTTGATATACCTCAAATGTTTATTCCTTAACTTTTAAAGCTGAGATAGAAATGTATATTTAATTGTCGAAAGCTGAGTACTAGTTTACCCCAACGGCATTACATTATTTTAAGCTCGCAATGCTGATGAGCTTGAATTGCACTATTGCAACCAGCCAGAAAATGTTTATGACTCTGGAGAATTTCATTTCAGGGGCTATCAGTCATTCTATGCTAAGTGACGTCACAAAATGGTCAAGTCAACAATGGCTGATGAAAACGTCGAAAGTTATCAGACCATGAGAGCTCGGTCAGGAAAATTCACTAGGAAAATGTTTATCGTACCTTTCACCAATATAATCAATATTCCATGTCAAATAACTATATTTGACATTTCTAAGGATTTCCAATATCCATTATAATGTGCATGCAATATTTGATGAATATGGCACATTCTTTCCATGAATTGTGTATTGCCTTGGCATTAGGATCAACTCACCAAACAGTTGCCATTTAAATTCCTACGTTTCTGTTTTAGCTTCCGACATGTTTCCGACATATTGTTTCTCTCTTTTCCATGTGCCTTTTAAAGCCAGATTGTTATGCTTCTTTTTCAAGATTCGGGGCTCCAGTTTACGCGACTCCATTCTCGGAAACGGACCAGATTAACTTTCAGTTTCTCCGAGAGCGAGAATTGGACATTCTAATTAACAAACCAAGCCAGTGTATTAGAAAAGGAGACTCAGAATCCGAGAAAATGACGTTAATGAGGGAGAAAACTCGGAATCTCATAACAAAGTGGTTTTCCAAAACACAAATCACCGAAACGGAGCGTATCCTCATTCTTGGTCCCACTATAGCTGCTGTAAAAACGCTAGGAAATACAATCCGAGAATGGATTGTGAGATCTGCTATGGATGCCTATTCCACCTGGACCACTAAGTCATTATCAGAAAAGAGGAAGAGAGTTGAGATTGCTGTTCACACAAGCCTCACCTTTTGTGCACTCTCCAATGTAGAAAACGCCACGAATGATGTGACCAAATTTGACCAGGATGATTCTGCAGATGGCTCTATAGTTGGCGAACACTCCAAAATCATTGGGAAACCAAACATCAGTGAAGTCTCTATAATTCAAGATCTCAAAAGAGGCAATATTGGTTATAATATGAACTCACAGAATGAACAATCTGTGGTAAAATCACCACCTCCAGAAGACATTTCTATTATCAAGAAACTTTTTCAGCGCTTGATGGAAATTATCCTGCTCAGATTTATGAAGTCAGAGGTTGTTGCTGAGGAAGTTGAATTTAGTAAATGTGAAAGATGGGAATCTCTGAGGGAAAGTACCAGAGACGTTCCTATAAACGATTTTGAGGGTTGGAAAGCATTTTTGAAAATAGACGGACCCCTCATGAATGATATCTCCTCTATCGACCAAAAGCAATGCAAAGGAAATGGCAATTCGACTCGATCGAAAGAACAATACCAAGAAAATTATTATTTTCGTGGAGATTCCATTGAAATAACGGAATTACTGAAGAGTCTGGCTGAAATTCATCTCCTTAAAAGCATAATGGAAGCAAACCTCATTGCTGACCAAGAGAACGGCAATGAAGAAGAGCGAAAGTGCGAGTAAACAAGAATGAAGAGGGAAGAGTTTCAAAAACAATCTGTGGCCGCTGAAAAGTTTGTTCAAAAAGACAAAGTCATCATTTATCATGGTTGCTGGTTGACATGATGAATTTTATCCTTTCGAAGGAATAATCGAATTCCGGATAATTTATTTTTATTGATAATCTAAAAAACTGCAGTGCTTCATCTCGAATGGTTCTTGCGTAAAAATGAAAATGCACAGATTTTTTTTACTCACTGTCGAGATCTCCTTTCGTGCTTCAACCCGGTAGGAACACGATTCGAATCGGGCCGATGAAGTGGAGTTCGGAAAAGTTCACCCTTGGTGTCCTTTGGCGGACGGACAGGAGGGCAGGAGAACGTAGGATATATTATAATGTAGATACACCCGATTTCCAAAACTGTGGAAGGGGGTGATATTTAAAAAAAAATTAGAGTTACACCCGGTTCCTACACGACCTGAAAATCGATCGCCATACCAAGTTTTGCGGATCCCACCCGTGGGTCGTGTAGGGCCGATCTGGCCGGTACGCAACCAGCTCTGGCTTCTAAGCTTCAGAACTTGGGGACTCCGGGTTCGTCCTTTTCTAATAGGCTGTGCTGAGGCTTTTAGCTTTCCCTTAATGCCATATTCGTGATGGCCTGTTCAGTGTTCTCATAGTTCACTACGTTCCGATGCCAGTTGCTTGCCCGAGAAAGCAAAAAAAATGATGATCGCGTCTATCGGAACGAGGTGTCCATTTTTCCAGCAGCAGTAAGCTACTGCAGAAAAAGATCCCTCTGATAGCGCATTCGCCAGCACCCAACATGAAACTTCATTTCCAACCGAACTGCCTCAAGTCGGGCCCGACTTGCGGGTCGAGTCGGTGCAATAGAGTTGAAACTCATCCCGTACGAGGCTTAAAAGCATACCTCATCCAGTTCCCGGGTGTTCGAAATTATCATATCTCATTTCAATGCGAAGCAGCAGAACTGGGTGAACATTTGCATACACGGAATTGAGGGTCCCCTGATGACACAACGCATCCCCTATTATTGATCCAAATCGTGGCAGTTTGAAATTCGAACGTTATCTCATTTAGAATCCTCTGGGACAGGACTCACTTAAAATTGTTCTGAAGGGAAATTGGAGGTATTTGAGGTTGGGGAGCATCTCCCCTCCTTCATGTGATACATAAAAGTTCAAAATGTGTATACCTTGTCTCATTTAAATATTATAGAACTGAACCTGTTGACATTTGGTAAATAGGAAAATTCGGGGATTTGGGGATGGGGTGGGGGGGCGTGAATAAATGGGTTGCACCCAATGTTACTGATCCGAAATGAGGCAGTTGAAAATCCCAGGGGTGTGTTTCATTTAGGTGTTATGGGACAGAACTCGAGTCACCTCAAATGCGAAATCGTGAATGTTTCACGGGTACCAGCTTGTAGTTTGTAATTGGGATGGGTAGGTATTTGGTAGGCGTAGCTGTTGGGGGGGGGGGGGGATCAGGGTGGAAGAGCTAAAACATTTTGGGAGATAACAGTGGCTGGCGAAGACCTTAGGGACTAAAACACAAACGATGCCATGTCCTTTATGGGATGCGAGTCAATTCTCATATTCATTCTTCAGAATGCTGCAGTCGTGACCTCAATTCAACTAATCTCGAAGCTGTCATGAACACGTCCGCTAAAGGCGGACTTCTGTCTGGGTCTGTCATTTTCCTCGCAGGCTGCGCCGAATAGCAATGCATTCCCAATGAAATGGGCTGAACGTCTCCAGAAACAAAAGGTATTTGATCACGATGCGATAGGTAGTAGCGTGCCCAGAAAACCCCAACGGGGAGGGCTGACTCATGATAAATTGATAATCACCCCTGCATATATAGCCAAATTAAAAAATTTTGAGAATGAAGCCTATAAATTGTATTCAAAGGTTATGGTTATGATGGTTATGACCCCCATAAGCCCCCCCCCCCCCCCCTTGGGCACGCCACTGGAGATAGGTTAGGAATCAGTATGGTACAGTTTGGTATTTGCGAAATCATTCCGAGGTTATGATTTTCTCACAAGCGCAGTTCTCTTATATGCGATAACAATTTTCCGATAATTGCAGACGCGATATATTACAGCAGGATTTTCATTACGTCATAGCCGAAGAATGGTTTGCAATGAACATTTTCATGAAAAAAATTCCTAAAAGCTAAAAAATAAGGCACTCCGGAGCAGGGTCAAGAAGAAGCAGCATATTAGTTCATGAATGCAGAACGGCAGACCGTGGAAGAGGGATTGTTCAAACACCATCACTTCAGCATTAAGGCTGTCGGCAAGCCCAATGACGAATTATTCTCCATAAGAGTTCTAGTCGCGCATGTACGACATGCAATATCAAACTTGTAAATTAAAAATGGCATTTGGACCACACCGAGGGAAAATTCAATACGAATACAAAGCAAAAGGCAGGTCGACTACTTCCATATGATACCTAATGAATTTTCACAAATCTCATCTTGGTTACGGCCATGCTCAAAATCAAAATCTACTAGTAGGTTCTGCAAATGAGGAAAAATAAAACCGTCACAAATTTAGCTGAATTGGAATATAGTGACATCGTTTGAAGACTTTTGTCGACTCGCTCCAGAACGTATAGCACTCGACCTCAACTCTATTTCGATGAGCGAAACGAGACATTGACGACCTGGATCATAATAATTACGAAATCATCGGGTCTAGCTAGACCTTTCGAGGAAAGGTCCGTCCGACCGAAGAGCAGAAGACTGACCTCGAGAACGGTGGCCGTGTAGAACTGATACAAGGGTTCATCTGCGAAGTGACTGCTCACGTAACTCTCCTCGCCGAATCCTCCCTCCCATCGCCACACGTCATTCAAAGGGGGGGGAGAGGAGGATGGAGGGGGTGGGGGGGGAGGCGAGGAGGACGGTGGTGGGGGAGGAGAGGAGGACGGGAAGGGTGGGGGTAGAGGAGAGGATGGTTGAGGGGGAGGGGGTGGAAGGACACCATTCTCCACCGAAGAGAAGCCGGAATCCGAATGTCCACCACCTGAATCTTCACGGATGTGCGACCCCGGTGGCGGCGCTGGAGCCACTCCTGTCCGAGACACGGTAACCCGATCCATCATCAGTCGCGAGAGGGAAGGAGAAGAGAATAGACCAATAGTACTCAAACTGCTGCCCGCGAAGGCAAGACACTTTCCATTCAAGTGGAATGTGTTATTAGTGCAGGTAAGCCATTTAATTTCAATGCGGCCAACGTAAAGTTGGTTACTTCCGGCTGCGGCCCCCGGCTCCAGAACTTCGAGTACCATAGGAATAGACTAATACCTTTGGGTGGATCTGGAGGAGCCATTTTCGGCCTAGAAATCGTTCCTCTCCCTCTTGGCTTCCGATTCCATCTCGTCCTCGTCTCTTCGCTTTCCTCCCATCTAGGATGAAAACCACTCGTCACCCGCTCACACACATGATGGACGAAATGGATGAAAAGAACAAGAACCTTTGAGTTTCCTCGGGTGAAAGCGTGAGGTAGAACATGGACCTTTCGCCTTTCTCGTTCTCCCTCCCGGTCTTTCGCCGGAATTTCGATCGAATGGACCAGGGTTTCTCTTTCTTCTCCCCCACGCCACCTGTATCATCCTCATGGTCTCAGTCAACGAGTTTCCCCGTTCCTTCGGCTTCGAAAGGTGAATGCGGAGGTAGTTCACGAGGAGGTAAAAGGAGGCCGGTGCCAGAAAGACGCGATAGTACGGTAGGGAGGCGCGGAATGCAGAGCCAGAGATACATTCATGAGTATGCTTCCTCTACCGTCACCGGAAGCAGGGGAGACCTGCCGTGTTGGCCTTCTCTCTGCTTTCGTCCGGGATTTAACGTGGGATTTCTCCGTTTCGTTCCAAGGCGCGTTGGAAGAGATGGATCGAGCGGAACGGATCCGCATGGGAATGGGGTCGATGGAGGGCTTCCTTTTTTTTTTCCGAACCACCCGCTTTCTCCGCTCGAGCCTCGATCCGGGAAGAGAGCTAGAGAGACACGAACCGTTGTCGTCCTCGAGGAGGGGTCCGGGATTCGTCTTCTTCCGGATCCGGTTAAATCCCTGACGAATGTCGCTCTTGGTCATACTCCAATTCCTTCGCAATCTCTGCTTGATCTTTTCTCCCATCCCGTACGGGTTCTTCGCCCCTCCGGACACCTGCAAGTTCCATCGCGTTTCTTTATCGGACACCTAAGTCGAACGTTACCTCGCGAGAAAGGGTGTATCTACGACGAAGACACGCCGCAAAGTTTCCGAAGAAATGGAGCGAAGAAAAGAGAAAGGTAAGAAAGGAAAGGGAAAGGTTTCCGAGGGCTCACCCCCGATGCGATCCCGTGGAATCGACGAGAAGAAAAGATTCATTTCGTCTTCTCTCACCTGGTTGACTTCGTATTCTCCCGTCCGAGTTCCGTCGTCGTCGGAATCGTCGGATTCGAAAGAATCCTCGGTATCTTCGTCTTCCGGGTCGCCGTCGGGTCGGATCACCTCGTAGAGACTCTCGTAATGATGATCCGGTCCCGATGATTCCTCCGTCGACTCCTCTCCACCTAGACGGAAGACTCGATCGAGGAACACGTTCCAACACGGATACATCGTCTCCACGTGTGAGACGAAACGCGAATTCCGTTCTTCGTGGGATCCGACCTGCTCTATTTTTGCGGGTGGACTTTGGCAATCCTCCCGGCGAGAGATGCGTCCTCCGTTCTCTCTTTCTCTCTACCGTACCCATACGAAACGATCCGTTGCGATCCTCGAGTGGTGGGTCGCAAACCCGGATCGCAGGTTTCTACAGCGATCGGATTCCTCATGTGGATGATTAATCCGTTTTCGTTCGTAAAAGAACAAGAGTGAGAGAAAGGCGTATTTTCTCCGCGATGGTCTTTCTTCGATCGCGTGGTGACGCACCCCCCAAAAAGGAAGGCGGAAGAAACGGAATCCACTACTCCTTCCCTACGTCGTCCGTGAGTGGAATTCCCGGATGATTCCCAAATGCTAGGGCAATAGATACTAACCTTCCGGTTGAAGGAAGACAGAAAGCTCCTGTGCTTCGTTCTTCGGGTCTTCCCAATAGACAGAGCGAAGCTTAACGGGAAGAGGATGATTCACGTGGAGCGGTCGAGGAAGACAAGTGGAAGCGGACCGGGAGAAGGTTCCCAAGTATATCGTAGAACAGGACGTGCTCACGTACACTGACGGGAAAGGGATCGTAACGAACGGGAAAAGTGGAAATCGGCCGGGTCTCTACGGTATTTATGGTACCTTCGTCCTCGGGTTCCTGATTTCCCGTCGACGTGGAATAGGACCCATCGCTCCACGTGGAACTCCAAGATATCAAGGAGCTGGTATCGTACGGAATCGGGATGGCGTCCTTATTCCAAGACGGCGGTGGGGGCGGTGGTAAAGGAGGGAACATCTCCTTCCGAATTCTTCCACCTGGGATCTTATTCCCCATCTTCACGAACGACGGTTTCCATATCCCCGGACTCCAACTCGATTGACGGGGTAGAACGGACGATCGTATCTTCTCGCGAACACCACCTGAGATATACTGCCCCGGTCGACAACGAGATCCACAAGCACGTAATCCTACGAGAGGTGCGATGCGATGCGATGCGATGGCATGTCACTTTCTCGCTCCTCTTCGATGACCTTTGACCCGTTCGTGGAAGGGACACCGTGTCGGCGCATACCGGTACATGGGCGGGTCGAGCGAAACATGGCGGCTCTATCTCCGCTCACCATTAAGCGGAACGGGGAGAAGGGAACGGCCAGCTGTTTGCGGAAGCCAACCTGCCCCCATTTTCTTGCCTTCCAACCGTGAGTCTTTGAAACGGCTGACCTTTCCGTGCCCTTCCACGAATGCCACTTCGGGATGTCCTGTCTCGGAGTCACGAAACGCGGCTTGCCCGCCGGCAATCACCCTTCATTCTGGTTTTACCTCATACCCCTACAGTTCATTGTAAAATTCAATTTTGCTACGGTGATGGCAGGATAGGATGAAAGAACGAAGTAGCGTTTCACACGTAAGCCGTACAGCTCTAATATCCTTCCATTACGAGCCAAGTTTTTTTTTTCATGGACTGTTCCACATTCCTTGCCTGTAGAAAAAAAAAGTATCGTTTCCAGTAATTTTCTCATCCTTCGGGTCGGTATGCCTTTACAGTTGCTCACAGATTGAGAATGGCGCTGCGTGCACCAAAATCTATGCACCATTTCTATTTCATTTAATGGGGAGGAGGGAACCTGTTTTTTGTATAGCAAAAACAAAAACTTCAAGCATGCAATCATTCACGTCCCATGGTCCTGCATAGTTCCTGATGGCTCGACAAGCATCCTGCATCCACCCCAATGAAACGTTCTGCTACTCCTCTGCCATCTCATAATATTGCGATGTCAATGGAATGAGCGACTTCCAATAGGCAATCGAGAAGAGCAATTTCCGTATTTTAAAAAGGAATTACGTATTTGTGATCCAGTTGGTTGCTTGGTAATGGGATGTCAAAAGACTACAGTATTTGACAACGTGACGAGAACATCACCCTTAAGCATTCTGACGAACACAAGAATTCCACTTATAGAGAAGAGCTTTCCGCTCTTATTCTGCGATTTCCGGCCGTATCTAGGTAGAGCCCAGGCAGATATTTTGTCTCGCAAGGGCAGCAATTTAGTTCACCCTTAGGGTGGTGCGTGAGGATGTATAGACAGAACTTAGCCAAATGTTTCAGATGGAGGCATGTAGCAACTAATTGCGTTAGAGAAACTTTCTGGGTTCAACAGGTGCGAGATGTGCAAGCACGTCCTCATCGAATGTCCTCGAAACTTACGTGGACGAATCTACGAAGTAGTATGGTATAGAACAATATCCAACGATTCCATTTTTGCCAAACCCTCGTCCAACCTCCAATGTTCCTAATAGAAGCGACTCTTTCACGTTGGCCTAGGTGGAAAGTGAAGCCCATCAGTTCTACACCTTTCCCCAATAAATTATGAATGTGAATGCCAGAGAAAAGTATGCGTTTACAAAGTGGGCATGGGCTCCCTGTAGAACATTCCTTGATAATGGTGACCCTAATTTCGACACTATCATGATTCACTCCAGCGATAAATAAATAAATAAAACCAATAATGGTCCATACATTCATATTTTCTGGAAATCCAGATAACCTTTTTATGGGAAACTCACCTATAAAGAAATATGCTAACTGAGAAAATATTCTTGAAACTCGCATATCATCCGTGATTACGCTTTCCGGTAAAGGGACTTGCATGCCTGCAACCACATGGAGATTCGAGAAAAAATGAAGGCAGGTGGAACTCCGGGGGGAATATTTTTCGTCCTTCAAATTTTTGCGATGCGATCTACTTCCATGCTAATAATTCGTGAGAATCACTTTCGCAACACACGGAAGGGCTGGCACGAATTCCTTAGCATTAGTCTGTACGTAGTGACGATGGGAAGGATATCATCAGATAACATACGATGTAAGATGGTAAGAGTATGGTATAAGCATAGAATGGGATTCGCCCCGATTGTCATCACATTATCTCCTCACGTGCATACGAGAACTTGCACCGCTGCGTACGCCCGTTTCACTTTAACAGCACCATAAAATATTAAATCAAACAAGAGTGAAGCATTAATACCACGCATTCGGCCAAACAACTCGTTCAAACATTTGTGACATTGAACTGACTCCTAACGTAGCTGACACGGTCAGCGAAAATGATCATTCAACTTAGTGAAATAGTGTCCATCACAAGCCTCTCAAAAACGTATAGCTTGAATGTGATCGAGTGGCGCACCTACTCCACATCGTCCAGAAAAATCGAAAATCTGAAACACTCAGTGGGTTCCCGTCATTGTTGATACTGATAATGCTTCCGACAGATAAACGTAGGAGCATACGAGACGGAGATGGAACTGTTTGACACCCGCAGAGCTCTCGAGAATGGGACCCTCGAAACCTCTTGGTGGATTCGCCGGACCAGCAGTGAATTTCTCAGCGTCCCGGTAGTGGATAGAGCCATACCATGTACATCTCACGAGACCCCATCCTAGGGGTACGATACTTACCATTCGACTACCGACTCGGTAGGGCAAGATTAGTTGCGGCGGACAGCATCGATTTCTCGAAACCAAACCAAAGCAACACCAGCAACCGTTCAGTCACAAATGCACGTGCCTGTTGGATTCGCGTCGATACGAGACAGTTCGTTCGCTGCAATCGACGGGTCATGTTAAGCGTTCGCCAATAATTTTGGCGGCTCCAATTGCAACATCATGCCGTTTCCATCACATCTTGAACAGTTCATAAAGGAACGAAAGGAAAGGTCACGACATGAGCAGACAAAAAGAACTACACGGCAGGCCGAGTTTAAGTTCAAAACCTTTCGGTACCAAACGAGAATGGTGAGGGATTGCACCTGAAAAGCAAGGTTCCAATACTTCCTTCGTCCGGGAAGATATACCGGACTGAAAACGAGTGCGTTAGGGTCTATTTAAAAAAATAGCGATTTGCACTCGGACTTTAATGTGTCCTATGTCACACTGATGAGGACACAATGCCACGGATATACGCTAATCCACCATTATTGAAGAGTTGCCTCATCTTCCATTTGGAGGAAAATAAAAATGAAAGAAACGAGCTGGCACCTTAATACGGAGAGAAGCAGAGGATCTGACTAGTGGAGGAACATTCACGATCTCCAGCGGGCAGAGCCATCTAGTGTTCACTCATCTGAATCACAGCCTTGACATGGATACGACATCCACTCCTTTCAACGAGTATCGTGTCCCATCACGGGATAAGGGCAACGACGTGACAATGATTTCGCCAAGTGGACGCTAGAATTTCCCTAGGCTACTCTCTAATACTACCAAAAATTATTTTCGGGGAAGGGAACGGCAGAATGCATTTCAATCAGTTTGTGGGGGGTAAGGGTGGAACATCTAGCCCTCAGTAGCTACGCTACTGGACAAGGGTATCCTGGTGCAATGGTTTTTCAAATTCCAAATGGAGATATCAAAATTACCTTTTTTCCGATGCCCCTCATAGTGATGGATGTAGCAAGAGAAACATGAAATTAATGCAGGCAGCAGTGCAAACGAATCGACACCAGTATAACGAATGGGAGAGGGTCTCCCCCTTCGTTTAGAATGGTTCCCCATTCGTTCGTTCCATAAATGACGGAACGATAACCTCCAGAAGCAAAGAATAGGCCCGATCACGGGTTCATTCGAGTACTGTATCCATCCCCTTGGAACACACGAGCGCCCGTGGGCATCGAGATCGAGTAACGCGTGGTACCGGAAGTCTTTCTGGAAACGCTATCTACAGTCCCATTTAAAATCGCTGCCCCTCATGACCCGTAGGCAGCCTCATGGATAGAAAGGTGATGACCTTGTGATGCCTTTTATGGAAAGGAGTGAAGAAACCGGCTCTGGGAGTATCATCCGAATCCGTTGAGGAGAAAGCACGAAAAGCTGGTTCTCTCACGTGTTTCTAAGATCATCGAACTCTTGAAGCATCACCGTATCGAATCGAATCGTATCGTATCGTATCGTATCGCATTGCATTGCATTGCATTGCATTGCATCGCATCGCATCGCATCGCATCGCATCGCATCACATCACATCACATCCTCGTGATACACGCAGGGTGACACATGAAGAGGAAGCCCGAAGGACTATTCCGGGAAAGATCGCGAGGAAAAACACCTGGTGCCGACGAGGGATGAATTTCGCTTCTGCGACGATTCGGGTCCATGATGAAGGACCTCATCGTGACGAAGAGAACGACGGGGAACACAAATGGACGGTCTCATATCACAGACAACGAAGGAAGAGAGGCACAGAGCCAAGGAAGGAGTGAGAGTGGATGGACGGAGGCTGGGCGAGCCAAGGACAGGTTGGAAGGAAGGAGGGAGGGAGTCTCCCAACTAGGTTAGGCCGTCATCCCCTGAGGCTACTATTTCCTCACTCCCTCCTCCTCCCTCCTCCCTCCTCCCTCCGACCCTTCCTTATTTCTATCCTACACACACTCTCTCGCCTCTCGTCGCGTTCTCCAGACAAGCATTAACCCCTTCCGGTATCTGTTTCGGTACGGTACGGCCCGTACTGTACGGGTCCCGGAAAACGCGTCAGATGGTCATCCAGAAAGGCACTAAAGTCACGCGATGCCGGAGCATCGTACCTCGAACAGCACGAAGTCGTCCTTGACTATATTTCTTTCTTCACGACCATCGTTTGACGTGCACATTTCATGCGTCCACACAAACCGATATGAAATGCATGCCCAACAATTTACCGAGATAGTGAGCAGATTCCCGTGACGATTCCTTAAATCGGTAACGGGGGCTTCTACGAGACGAAGCAAAAATAAAGGACTCCTCTAGAATCCTATCATTGAGGTTTAATCGCCGTCAAGATGAACTGATACCGAACCATCTTCTCGAAAATGGTGATGTTCCAGGAGTTCGAGACCAATTTGAAAGGAATTGCCGCTGGGTTTAATCACTTCACAGGCTAGTCAGAGCATTCGACGACTGCGAATGCGCGGGCAAGGGAACCCTAACGTTAAGGTAGGCGTCCGTTCAGTCGTCATGCCATGGTGTGGTAAGGACGATAGGAGCAACTATCGAGCTCTGCTCGGAATGCGAGACTTTCCCCATGCAATAGAGGACCAGAATGCCCAAATAGAAATGAAATGGGAATATTAACCACCATAGAACTAGGAGAATAATAACCTACCGCAGATTTTCCTCAAATTTGAAGGTAAATACATCCTAATTTGTTCCGGTTGGGAGTTGAAAAGAAAAAAACATGAATGCTCAATACTAGGCAAAAAGTTTATTTTCTTCTTTTTTTTTGTCCCTTTTTTTTCTTAACCTTAAACTACCAAGTTTCGAAGTTTCGCCTATTATAACATAGGCTCTGAATCAAATTTGACCCAGCTTGGTCGTTTAAGGGTTAATATGAACGTTCCTCTCTCGATATCCTCGCATTGATTCAATGTTGTTTCAATGTTATGTGCTACTAGGGAGCTTTTGCGAGGAAAGTCGGTCGTTCCTTTTTTTTCCGTCCCCCCCCCAATCCCAGTGAGACAGGAAAAAAAATTATTCGGGACCTGTCTTCATACGAGCTATGTGCAGAAGTTAGGTTTCAGTATGATCTTCTTCGAAATAGTTTCCTTGACTTGCGATACACTTCTCCCAGCGCTTACAAAGAGCTTGGAACATTGGCTGTAACCCTTTCTTGGCAACCTTCTTCAACGTGTTGGTCGCAACTGACTTGGGAGCGTGTATGCCGTCGAAGCGGCGGCCTTACAGGAGGAACTTCATTCTGAAAGACAGCATAAAGTTCGCGCAATCAATTGTGCAATTCACACAATCGAGAATTAGTAGGATTACGAGGGCAGGAATCCGTTGAAGATGATGAACGCTGTGGACGGCCATCGAAGAGCTATGAGAAAACTGTGCAGGTCCTTCCTGAGCTTGTTCGCAGTCACTGTCGGCAATCGAGCAATACAATGGGGGTACCATAAAATTTCTAATCTACCGAGGGGTGATACTGCTCCCACATCCTCCGTGCTGGCCGGACCTCGCGCCTTGTGACTGTGACTTCACGCTCTTCCTAAGAATGAAGTTCCTTTAGGAAGGCCGCCGCTACGACGACACAGACGCTTCCGGGTCAAGGGCGACCAACGCGTTGAAGAAGGTTGCCAAGAAAGGGTTACAGCCAGTGTTCCAAGCTCTTTATAAACTTTGGGAGATGTGTATCGCAAGTCAAGGGAACTATTTCGAAGGGGATCATACTGAAACCTAACTTATTTACAAAGTTTGCTCGCACGAAGGCAGGTCCTGAAACTTTTGATAGACCCACATGTATCTTCTACCCCTTCCCGTTACAAAATTCAACCTCCTCGTATTCCTCTCTGTCGTCATCTAGATAAACGAAATTGGGCATGCTCTTACTCTTTCAACACAGAATCGCCCCAGCAATTTTTAAGCTCCAATTTTCTGGAGTTGCGGAGAACACTGAATTTCGAGGTTTGATGTGAATTTTGAAGACGTGAAAAAAGTAGAACTAGGTACGACTTGAAGACAGTCCGTGAATTGGGCCTCGGCCTAACGTTAGCCAGTCCCGGAGAGAAGAGGGGGGGGGGGGGTTTAAAGAAAGGGGAAAGTCTTGGAAAAATAGTTTTCATACTACTTCATATGTACTGTACAGGGCGTAACAAAAGCCCTTAGTCATGAGGGAAATGCCTGATAGAGCTGGTACTTTTGGTTGATCTTTGCAGTCGAAAGCACAACAAGAGTAATGCAGCGACCATCACTTGCAGCAGACATTATGTTTTCTGATAAGGCGTATTTCCATTTAAAGAGTAAATGGCCACATGAATAATCATAACACGGAGAACTGGACAGATAAAAACCCACACCTGATTGAGGAAACGCATCACCAAACCAATCCAAAAGTTACTGCGTGGTTCACGGTGACACATTCCTGAACCCATATTTCTTCGATGGACGAGTAACAGGACAAACATATCTGGCTATGTTAATGGATGAGCTTCAACTATACACTGGCATTTTCCATGGTCATCTCGCCAAAAGTAAGACGGGGCTCCTCTCACTTTGCTATCGAAGTCAGATGGTTGCACAGTATGTTCCCCGATAAATGGATTGGGAAAAGATAATTTTTTGAATGGCCTCAGCGATGTCCCGATTCAACTCTAATAAATTTTCATCTGCGAAGTTTTTTAAAGTCAAGGGTTTATAAATCCCGCCCCGCAGCATCGCCGATCTGAAACACAATATTCGCAGGGAGTGAGCCAACACTAATTGTGACGTGTTTCGTCGTGTACGGAATAGTGTTGCTGCTTGGGAGCCCATCTTGTCACTAGATATGCTTTGAAGTGTCGTTGCGAAACAGTCACGCTTTTCATCTTCGCGTACATCAGCATAATTGTATTCTTTTGCTGCATTGTCAGATATTCTTAAACCTTCATGTCAAAACATACACTCGACAGTTTTTCCAGGTCCTATTGCAGCTCCTACTCACAGGTTATACAGCTGTCTTTACTGGGAGTCAACATATAACAAACGAAAAACTGTCATCATTTCGTGGCCCACCCTGTACCTTCCATAGTCCCAGGCTCCATCAGATAGACCAGTAACAAATAATGAATTAATGCAATCAGAGCTGAAATACAGGGGGGGGGCAAAAAAAAAAAACAAAGCTATCATCTTAGGTGAGTTGTTAATCTGATTGTAAGCCGCCGATTCTGATTAAATTTGGTAGGCACTTAGGGTGACTCAATTGGGGTTTGTTTGCCGAGTTTCAAATTAATATTCCAAAAACTGTGATATTTGCATTTTATTTTATTTTCATCACCAAAAATGTAAGTGTTCATTTTTTTCTTTAAATTTACAATTTCTTACAACTGACAAAACAAACAAGCAAACAGAACAAAAACAAAATGCACGAATGTCAAAAACAAGATCACATAATTTGGCGTAAGTGGATTCATTTCAACTGAAAAGGTGTTCAATGTGCCCTCCATTCTGTTGAGCACAAGCCTCTAGTCTGGGACGCCACAGATCAATGGTTCGGTCAATAAATCTTTTAGGCAGTGCTTTCCAATCTTCCTTTATAGCATCATGAAGGGATGAAAGGTCATTAATTCCGTCCTCCCATTCATCCCTGCATCAAGTTCATATCTATATTTTCGACAGCATATTTTGTCGTGGGTCATCAGAAAATTATTACAGCTCCTATAATTTTAGAGCCAGAAGGCTGAAATTCGGCATAAAATCTCCAATTGAGTCACCCTATAGCAGGGGTTGGGAACCTATGGCTCATGAGCCAAATTTGGCTCACAAGCCGAAAAGTTTGGCTCATTGAGCCATGGCTAAAAATTATGGTTATCATTTTCCTATTGTATCAAAGAATGCACATGTCTGTAGGTAACTTCAGGAAAAATTCGGTTGTTCTGAAAATCTTCGCTCACAAGCGCTTACCTCAATCTTAAGATGGCTCACATGGCCAAAAAGGTTCCCGACCCCTGCCCTATAGGCTAGTCAAATTTAATCAGAATCGACAGTCTACAATGAGATTGACGACTCACCAAAAATGAGTTTTTTTTATATCCACCCTGTATATTTGACCCAGAAAATGCCTACAGGGAGGTCACAATGTCTTATCACCCCTGCAGCAATTTCTATAAGTCCTCCTTTTCTGTGGTTTGTTGAACATGATCATGAGTGATAAAAGAAATATTGAAAGAAATTATACTATTGAACAACGTACTGTTGCCTGCGTCTGGGTTCACTACGGGCTTCCATAAACAGGGAAGACCATGGAAGAAATTTGTGACGATTTCCAGCAACGATTCAACGGAGCGAGTGATGCCAGGGAGGTCACAATGTCTGTTATCATATTTATTACAATTTGTTTTTACATTTTTGTAGTACACATGTATTATGTACGAGGGCCACTCAATAAGTTATCTACCTGAATATGAAAGGGAGGACTTATAGAAATTGCTGCAGGGGTGATAAGACATTGTGACCTCCCTNAAAGTTGTCAAGGGGGGTCCTTCTTCTCCATGACAACGCGCCCGTCCACAAATCATGGAAAGTTCAGGCAGCAGTGAGGGAGTGTGGCTTTCAGGAGCTCAACCATCCTCCCTACAGCCCGGATCTGGCTCCTAGTGACTATTTTCTGTTCAGACACTTAAAAAAAATTTTGCGGGGAAAAAGATTTTCATGCAATGAAGAGCTGAAAGTTGCCGTTTCTGATTGGTTTGATGGACAAGAAGTTGACTTCTATTCCCAGGGAATAAAATCCATGGAATCAAAGTGGAATAAATGTGTTGAGTTAAAAGGTGACTACATTGAAAAATAAAGTGTTAT